CACACACACACACACACACACACACACACACACACACACACACACACACACTGTAAGATTGCTCTAACACTTCACTCTCTGCACAGAACCTCAGGTTTTCCCGGTCAGCGAACACCGAACATCATCAGGATACTTTGTTTTTTTAAATCCTGTTTTTCCTGTTAAAACCTTCAGCTCTGCATTCAGAACGAAACAACGTTGACTTTGGATGTTTATTTTCAGCTAAAGCTGCACATTTTGTCCTGTTTTAATGGAATTTCCAGGTGAGTTTTTATTCTTTTTTTTTCATCAGTACATAATTTTAAAGACTTTTCTCTGCAGTTTTCATCAAAAAACAGAACTTGTTCCCTTTTTAACCTGAATAAAACAGAAAGTCGAGTTTAGGGAAAGTTAAGATATTTGAATTGTATCTGCTGTATTTATTTTGATGTATAAAGTTCAAGTTGCTAGAAGTAGGAAAACAACTAAATTACATTTATTATGATGATTATGTTGATTTATTATAATGCACTCAAAACATCAAACTTATTCCAGAATTACTTTAAAAGTTAAAATATTCAACAGCCTGATGTAAAGTTAATAAATTTCCAAAGCCTCTGGGAAAAATGCATTCGGACGTGTTTTCACCTGAATCCTTCAGGCTGAGAGACGCTCAGCATAAATACATCATTTAAAATTTATTAGCCTCACTGCTCCGGTTTAATGTCTTTAAAAAGGCCGCCTTGCTGTCAAAACAATCAGCAGAAAGAAATGCTTAAAACCAAGAAAAGCCTCTGCTGTTCTACGTAATGAGGATCCTAATAAACCAATTACTTTAAAGGCTTTCAGTTTCAAACCACAACATGCTTTTTCTGGAGCATTAAGATGATTAAAGTCAAGACTGAAAGGAGAATCTTAAAGGAGTCTGCCCCTCGGGGACATTTAGGCCATAAAAAGATTTATCATCTGAATTCCTTATACATGTTCAACTACTGTATAATGTACTCCAAAAAGCTGAGTGTTTTCAATTATCAAGACTTTTCATTCTTTTTAAGTAAAAGAATAAAAAAGGAAATGATAGAATTTGATTTAATATGAAGTTAGACATTCATCAAACTGTTTTTGACAACTTGAAAAATAAAAACAGTTTTTAAAGTACCTCAAAGTGATACTTGAGTAAAAGTACAAGTATCTTACCGTAATATCCTGTGACGTGAATATCCTTCCAAACAAAAAATCAAAGAAAACATATTTATATTTAAGAAAATTGTTATAATACACACTATTTTACACATTCTGTGTACATAGCTGGCATATTTTCTTTTCAATTTGACCAAGATGAAATGTAACAGGAAGTGACATCATGAGAGTATTATTTAGGAAAAGGGAACTCCCTGGAGTTTATTTATTGAAAGAATATTATTTGAACTCTGACTCTTCTTCATCTCTCCTTGAAAGTGACTCAAAATGGTCTAAAGAACATCAGATTCTTCTCCAGCACTGCTCTGTTCACACGAGGACATTAATCTCATGACATCACTTCCTGTCACTTCACATGCTAATAATTCATCAGTTGTTCATCTCAGCAGCGTGAATTTTTTTGCAATATGTCATCATAGTTATCCTTCCAAAAATGATTTCGTATTTATAACGAAAATTTGATGTCAGGTACTTTTCTCAAGTCTCCTCTAAGAATGTTACCTGAGTAAAAGTCTTAAAGTTTCTGACATTTACTGTACTTGAGTTTCATAAGTAAATATCTGATACAGTGGGTAAAATAAGTATTGAACACGTCACCATTTTTCTCAGTAAATATATTACTAGAGGTGCTAATGACATGAAATTTTCACCAGATGTTGGTAACAACCCAAGTGATCCATACATATAAAGAAATCAAACCATAAATGTCCAGAAATGAAGTTATTTGTAATAATGTGGAATGGCACAGTGAAAAAGTATTGAACACACTAACTGAAATTGATCTAATACTTTGTACAAAAGCCTTTGTTGTCAATGACAGCTTCAAGACGCCTCCTGTATGGAGAAACTAGTGGCATGCATTGCTCAGGTGTGATTTTGGCCCATTCTTCCACACAAACAGTCTTCAAATCTTGAAGGTTTCGTGGACCTCTTCTATGAACTCTGATCTTTAGTTCTTTCCATAGATTTTCTGTTGGATTCAGGTCAGGTGATTGGCTGGGCCATTCCAGCAGCTTTAGTTTCTTTCTCTGAAACCAACTGAGAGTTTCCTTGGCTTTGTGTTTGGGCTCATTGTCTTGCTGAAATGTCCAGCCACGTTTCATCTTCATCATCCTGGTAGATGGAAGCAGATTTTTATCAAGAATGTCTCTGTACATTTTTCCACTCATCCTTCCTTCAATTATTTGAAGTTTGCCAGTACCATATGCTGAAAAACAGCCCCACACCATGATGTTCCCACCTCCAAACTTCACTGTTGGTATGGTGTTTTTGGGCTGATGTGCAGTGCCATTTGACCTCCAAACATGATGTGTATTCTGGCATCCAAACAGTTCAATGTTGGTCTCATCTGACCAGACTATATTCTCCCAGTATTACACAGGCTTGTTTAAATGTTGTGCAGCAAACTTTAAAGGAGCTTCAACATGCTGTTTCTTCAGCAGTAGAGTCTTGCGTGGTGAGCGTGCATACAGGCCATGGTGGTTCAGTGCATTACTTATTGTTTTCTTTGAAACAATCGTACCTGCTAATTCCAGGTCTTTCTGAAGCTCTCCACAAGTGGTCCTTGGCTCTTGGACAACTCTTCTGACAATTCTTTTCACTCCTCTGTCAGAAATCTTGTGAGGAGCACCTGGTCGTGGTGGGTTTATGGTGAAATAATGTTCTTTCCACTTCTGAATTATGGCCCCAACAGTGCTCACTGGAACCTTCAGAAGTTTAGACATTCTTCTGTAACCGATGCCATCATTATGCTTTGCAACAATAAGGTTGTGAAGGTCTTGAGAGAGCTCTTTACTTTTACCCATCATCAGATGGTTCTTGTGTGATACCTGGCCATCATTTGGGACTGAACCAGCTGATATTAACTTGCACTGACAAGGGGCAGGCTTGTTTTCTAATTACTGAGAGAGTTCAGCTGGTGTCTTGTCTTTCCATGCCTTTTTACACCTCCCTTTCTTCATGTGTTCAATACTTTTTCCCTGTGCCATTCCACATTATTACAAATAACTTCATTTCTGGACATTTATGGTTTGATTTCTTTGTATGTATGGATCACTTGGGTTGTTACCGACATCTGGTGAAAATTTCATGTCATTAGCACCTCTAGTAATATATTTACTGAGAAAAATGGTGACGTGTTCAATACTCATTTTACCCGCTGTATGTCTGAGTGTGATATGATGTGTGTCATTCAGCTGTGATGGATCGTGGTATAATTTGATACTTTGATAAGTAAAAATAAACAATAATTATTTGGGTAAAGTATAGATAACAAAAATGTCTACTTAAGTAACACATATTTGTACTCTGTTATTTTACACCTCTGAAGGCAAGAGTGAGCTAACTGTTGGAAAAAGAAGATGTGTGCAGAAGAGTCTGACGGACTTTAACCTAAAAACATGAGGGACTCATATCGTGGTGTTCTTCTGACACGTCTTCTCATGAACACAGCAGCTGGGACTTGGCTAGCTGTCAGCATCATGCTTTTTTACATAAACATGTTGGCTGCACTTCAACATCTTTCAAGCATTTCCACAAGTTTTACACTCATTTGGATTTTTATGTGTCAAAAGAAGTGCCGGCACATGGGTTAATGGCACTCGCTTGGATGTTAGTTTTACTTAAACACAACCCAAAACATATTTTAGAAACAAAACATCTGGGAAGCTTTCACAACACAGGATAAAGGAAACTATGGAGGGCTAACATGTGTATTTTTGACAGAGATGACTTGAAAAATGCCATTTATGTCAAAAAAGAAAAAACAACTTAAAACAGCGGAGCTGATCTTCAATTCCATCTTTTTAACACTTATAGTGTAGCATTAAGCCTGATATGATGCACGTCTTCATGTATGTGAACAAACATCACTCTGTGAGCCGGAATAATGGAGACCCTAATGACCCTCTATTAAGAGGGGAGGATAATTTAGTCTGCAGGTGAATCTTAGTTACATAACTGAGTTTCTGCTTGGAACAACATGAAAGACAAAGGTGATACAGGTTTAGAAAACAGTTTAAAGTAAAAAATAAAGTAGACTTGATGCAAGTCTAAATTTAATGTAATGTTGATGTTTGATTCCTTTTAGAAAGGAGCCTCAGGCTAATGCAGACCTGCTTTGCGAATCATTTGTGATGAACTTTACTTTTTTACAAAACATAATTTGTTTAGAATGATCAGAAATGTTAGCTTGACAAAATAAGCTAGATGTCACGTTCTTTCATCCTGGCCACACGTCCTCACCCCCCCC